CTCACGCTTGGAACTGACACTAAACAAGTGAAGGATGGGAAAAATGCAGACGTTAAGGAAGTTCAAAATGCTTATGTGAATTTTGCTTCTTTTGATCGTACAATTATGTATGTTAACTAATTAGTTAAGAGTCAATAATGAACTTTATGAAATTGTCTAGTGAGTTTATTTTGAATGAGATTTAAATGATATTGAGTTCTATTTCCAAATGTTTGATCATATCCACGCCCACTCTCAACTTTCTTTTCTTTCTCCGTATCTCCGATACAACGTGTGTTGATGTGTTTTGGATAAGAGGCGTGATAATATGAATAATGTCCGGATTTCATTGAAATTCTTATCGACATAGTGACAATCAGAAGAACTGGAAGAACAGGAATGTATTTTTTAACTAAATTTTAAATAGAATTGTTTACATCATGCATCGGTCACTTAGGTTAATTATATGCTTTAGTAATTAATTTTGTCATGGAGATTGATGATAATTATTTTTACTTAGTTGTTTTTATATTACTGAAGATTATTGCATTATGTCAGTATTTAAAACTCAATACTTCCACTTTTTCAGTTATTTCATTTCATAGATAAGTGTTCAGCTGTGTTTGGACAGTGTTTTCTGTTCACCGAGTGTGTGGTCAATTTTTTCACTATTCTGTACTTTATTATTTTTGTCTTCCGTATTGTTAACAAAATTTTGTGCTGTCGTTTCACCAGTGATATCACAGTGATTACTGCATCATGGCACTGTGTGAAACTAATTCACTATGGTATTTTGTTTTCACTGAAACTCTAGTAGAGTAAGTGAAACTTATGCAAACGCACATAGGTGCTGAAAAGGAAACTGAATGCCGTATTTTTTGTCGCTTTTGTTGTTTGGAGATTAACATTAAAGTTTATTACAAGCAATGCGCCCTTCATTTTACTCATTCTCTTTTCGTGTTTTATTTTTCGTCTCTGATATCTCTCCTGAGTTCAATATGTCGATAAACCTCTATGGCGCTTGATCAATTGAGTCCTGCAAAGAAGAGCAGTGGGATCCAGGTCGGTTAATCTGATTGGGCTTGAACTTCACAGGTTTATCAGCATCATAAGACACGTTGTGCAATGAATTGAAATGACGTTAAAGATATTGGTTTTAATTTTGAATGAGATTTCTTCACCTGTTTTCCACGATTTATGGTGTTCTTACCTGTTTCGTTGGGTTTCTACTGGGAATTAAGAGTAATTCTGTTCGTTATCTTCTCTCTGAATTCAGGCAATTTTGATGGATTTAAATGGTTTAATAGTGTTTAAGGAAATTATCCTGAACAAGGTAATTTCATTGTTAGCATTAAAAATCGTCCAGTCAACAGGACTATAAAAGAAATTCTTGTCAGATGATTAGTTGGAAAATAATGCAAATGATGGAAATTGTTGAATCTCTTCCTTCAAGTGTGTCACACAATATAACACATGATCAGATATATATCTTCGAATTTGCCATACATCAATTCGCTATAACTCAAAAGTCTGGAGAATTCTTGAGAGAAATGTCAATAGTTGTCTACGGATTCGCGTAGTACTAGAGACGGTTCTGATTGAGATCCGTCCACTGAGATGCTCAAACCTTTTGATAATTGTAAGTACTTGAAATATTGGTCTAACCGGGAACTTTCGAAGTAGTGCTTACTTACTTACTTACTTACTTACTTGCATACATACATACATACTTACTTACTTACTTACTTACTTACTTACTTGCTTACTTACTTACTTACTTACTTACTTACTTACTTACTTACTTACTTACTTACTTACGCCTGTCACTCACAATGTAGCATAGGCCACCGCCCAGCATTCTCGAATTACTCTATGCTGGGCCTTCTTTTCTAGTTCCATCCAATTCTTGTTCATTTTTCTCATGTCTGTTTCCATTTCTCGGCATACCGTGTTCTTTGGTCTTCCTCTTTTCCTTTGGCCTTGAGGATTCCATGTGAGGGCTTGTCTTGTGACGCAGTTCGGTGCTTACCTCAATGTGTTTCCTATCCACTTACAGCGCTTCTTCCTGATTTATTCCTCCGCTGGAATCTGGTTTATTCTCTCCCACAGTACGTTGTTGCTAATAGTGTCCGGCCAACGGATCTGACGTATTTTGTGTAGACAACTGTTAATAAACATCTGTATTTTCTGGTACTTGTTCCTCATCCCAAGTCTTGTTGAAGAGAATGTTGAGTATCCTTGCAGTCGCTGCTACGTCTGTATTCAGTCCCTCTGCTGGAATGCTGTCCTGTCCTGCTGCTTTGCCACTCTAGATTTATTTGATGGTCATGCTGATTTCTTCAATCGTTGGTGGGCCAACATCGATTGGGAGGTCCGTGGGTGCTGCTTCGATGTTGGATGGGTTCTGTGGAGCTGGTCGATTCAAGAGTTCCTTGAAGTGTTCTACCCACCTGTTTTGTTGCTCTTCAATGTTGGTGATTACCTTGCCCTCCTTGCTTTTCACTGATCGTTCTGCTTTGCGGCGACTTCTAAAGAGTTTCTTTGTCGTGTCATACAGTTGTCTCACGTTTCCTTCTCTTGCAGCCTTCTCCGCCGTCGTTGCTAGATCTTCCACATACTTACGTTTGTCGGTTATGATGCTTGTTTGTTTACTTCTGGGTATTCAGCTTGTGCCTTGGCTTTTTCTGCTCTTGTTTGACTAGCATTGATTGCTGCCTTCTTGTTCCTCCTTTCTTGAATCTTATCCAGTGTACCAACAGTGATCCATTCCTTGTGGCCCAGAACCTAATGGTATGTTGCTCTCCATAGTAGTTCCTTCGCTATTGAGTAGATCATGAAAGGCCTGGAACTTGTTGCTGAGGACTATCTTGAATTTGTTGAGTTTGTTAGTATCCTTAAGAAAGGCCGTATTGAACTTTTGTGATATTGTCCGCCCCGTTGTCCAGTGTTTCTTGAGTTTCAATTTCATCTTGGCGACCAGCAAGTGATGATCTGATGCTATATCAGCTTGTCTCTTGGTTCTCACGTCCTCTATAGTCCTCCTGAACGTTTTGTTCATGCAAATATGGTCGATTTGGTTTTGTGTAGAGTGATCCGGTGAAGTCCATGTGGTTTTGTGTATGCGTTTATGTGGGAATATGGTGCCGCCTATGACCAGCTTATTGAAGGCATTTAAATTTGCAAATCTCTCACCGTTTTCGTTTCTTTCTCCCAGTCCGTGTCGTCCCATGATGTCTTCATATCCAATGTTGTCCGTTCCAACCTTGGCGTTGAAATCTCCCATCAGAATGGTCAGGTCCTTTCTTGGGCACTTCTCGACGATTGACTGCAGCCTATCGTAGAATTGATCTTTAGCGTCTTCATTGTAGTCGTTGGTAGGCGCATAGCATCGGATGATGTTCATTGGAGTGCCCTCTTTCTTTGTTTCGAACGAGGCTTTGATGATCCTTGGTCGATTAGATTCCCATCCTATAAGTGCATTTTGCGCTTGTTTGGACAGCATCAATGCAACTCCTTGTGTATGTGGTGCATTTTCTTCTTCATGGCCGGAGTATAACAGGAGCTCTCCTGTAGTTAGTCGTTGTTGTCCAACTTGTGTCCAATGTGTTTCACTGATCCCAAGTACCTCTAAGTTGTATCTTCTCATTTCTGCAGCGATTTGGAAGGCTCTCCCGGTGTCCCACATTGTACGAACATTCCATGTACCTAGATAGATAGTCGCTCTGGTTGTCAGAAGGAGCATCGGCCTCGTAACTACCAAAGGAATTCGGCTTTCATCATGAGGCGTCATAATCCTCTAATCGAAGACCTTCTGACTCCTAGGGCAGAGTTTAAAAAGTTTGAATAATTTTTTCTGGTTAGCGTTTTTTTGGCGAGTTAGTTTTCTACGGGATGGGGACGCTAACCCCATGCCCAACCCTCCTCCTTTACCCGGGCTTGGGACCGGCAGTAGCCCCCAGAGGGACTCCAGGGGGAGTTGGGGTTAGAAAAGATCGACCCTAAAAATGCACACCTCGCCTTATCCCACGGATATTCGTCTCCGGCGGTAAGGTCTCAACAAGTACGGAGCTAACACAAAAATTATTCATAAAAAGGTCGTGTGTTACCGACCTCAAGCAGTTGTCCCTTGTGCACTGCGGTCACGCTCTCAGGTCACTAAGACCACCTCTAATCCCATTTCCTCCTCAGACACATTCAGAAGAACCCTTCCACAGTGTGGGCAACCAGGAAGTGATAACCGCCCTCATACCTCTAACAGCACTCAAGACCACTGACTGAACACAGATGTTATGAGTATGATAGAGGAAGAAAGCGAAACAGATTGTAATTTTGGCGAAGCAGGTTTTATTCAAAGTGTAGATGATGTTATAGATAACTGATAGGATTTAAACGCAGCAACGTCGAACAAAGTCATTGTCAATAAAAGATAAACTAAACAACAGGACCTTCAAGAAGTAAGTGTTTGAAATCTATAAGGCAATGATAGGACTTTCTACAAATAAAACAAGTGAAAGCACTATCTCTCAGGTAAAGCAAACAGGCTCGGCAACCTTACATTTATCGGTGTGCGAAGAATTAAAAAATCAATACCTGGTATATTAAAGTAAAACGTACTGAAAACTACATTCAAAAATCAATAGCAACAAATATGGTATCAAAACAACTTGATCATAATGTTTATTGAACTATATCAGTGATCATGTAATCGAAGTAAAATAGGTGACAATCGAATAGAAGAAAGTAAGGAGTGAAACAATAGCTTACTCGATTTGATACAGTTGTTTTTACACTTTCTGGAATGAAACGTGTTGGACAACAAAATGCAGACGAACAGCGTATCCAGTCTCGCATTGCGCAGCGTATCAAAGAACTAAGTAGTCTTTCTGTATCTAGTACATCGGAACAAAGAGTATCATTATTGATTGAACTTCGTGCTTTGCGTCTACTGAATTTTCAGCGACAACTAAGGCAAGACATAGTGTCAGCTATGCGCCGAGACACGAGCCTTGAGACAGCTCTTAATGTCAAGGCGTACAGAAGGCCGAAAAAAACAAACTCTTCGAGAGGCTCGGTTCACGGAAAAGTTGGAGAAACAAATGAAACATGAGCAAGAAAAAAGGCGTCGTCAAAAACATCAAGAATTTCTGAATGCTGTTCTTAGCCACGGAAAAGATTTCCGAGAGTTTCATCGTAATGTTAACAGCAGAATGGTGAAAATAAACAAAGCCGTTCTAAATTACAAAGCCAATGCTGAGCGTGACAAAAGAAAAGAAGAAGAACGAATTGATCGTGAGCGTATGCGACGTCTTATGGCTGAAGATGAGGAAGGTTATCGCTGTCTTATTGATGCGAAAAAAGACCAGAGACTTCATCACTTACTCACCCAAACAGATGAATTTATTAGTAATTTGACTAAACTTGTTCGTGAACATAAACGAGAGCAAAGTAAGCAGCGTTTTAGGGAACGGTCAGAAAGAAGAAAATTCGCACAGGAATCAGCTCTGCAAAATGCTGTTGTATTCTATCGAAAATTGGCTGATGATGTCATTAAAAACGGTGGACAACCCCCGGCCTATTTTTCTACTCTTCCATCTACTGAGAAATTTCCTGAAGAACTTAATCAAGTGAATCGTGACTGGTTATGTGGCAAAATGTCGTCTTCTAACATCCAGTTACCTGACGTGCGTATACCTATGTATCAAACAACAACAAAAGAAATTGTTGAAGGTGATGCTGCTCCTTTAGCCTCAGAAGTTTGCACTTGGCTACAAGAACACCAGGGCTGGGAGATTCTTCCAACTGATACTGACGGGTCAGTAATACATGACTTATTGGAACCAGACGAAGAGTTCAAGCGTAAACGTAAATTTGATGACGATGATGATGATGATGACAATAGTATGGTACATGTCGGGACGGAAGATGATGAATATAATAAACGTGGTGAATCTGGTGCAAATGCACCTCAATCCTATTATACTCTTGCTCATGCTGTACGAGAAGAAGTTAAAGAACAAGCTAGTATTCTTGTCCATGGTCGATTAAAAGAATATCAATTGAGGGGTCTCGAGTGGCTTGTTTCATTATATAACAATAACCTTAATGGCATACTTGCTGACGAGATGGGTCTGGGCAAAACGATTCAGACAATCGCTTTGATTACGTACCTAATGGAACGGAAACGCGTTAATGGACCGTTCTTGATTATTGTACCGCTTTCAGTCGTGTCTAATTGGGCAATGGAGTTCGATCGATGGGGACCAAGTGTGAAAAAGATATTATATAAAGGTTCACCTCAAGCTCGTCGACTTCTTCAAACACAAATAAAAGCATCAAAAATCAATGTACTGTTAACAACCTACGAATATATTATTAAAGATAAATCAGCTCTTTCTAAAGTGAAGTGGAAATACATGATAATTGATGAAGGTCATAGAATGAAAAATCACCATTGTAAATTGACTCAAGTATTAAACACATATTATACTGCACCATACCCAACCCTCCTCCTTTATCCGAGCTTGGGACCAGCAGTAGCCCCCGGAAGGACTCCAGGCGGAGTTCTGTATGGTTTAGCATGCAATTATAAGTATTAGAATTAACAACGGTTGTGTGTATAGTTGATGCGTCAACCAAGGTGCACATCTGTAGCGTGGCGTCGAGTCGAAATTGACTATAAACACCGCTACAGAGAAACACGTGCCAAATAAATCCATAAAATCCCGCGGAAGCCAAATATCAGAAGGCAGTTAATGGACCAAGTCGAGATATATTTGCTGGCGATCTCGTGGTATCGAAGGAATACCGAGATCGTGCCAGGATACAAACTTGGTTACAGAACGTAACCGAATTCGCGCGAGGTCACAATCAAAGTGTAAGAATAATGCATGCTTTTTAGCACAGTTAAGCAAAAGCACATTGATACAGTCACTGGTACAATTGGTTATAATAAAAATTGTTTTCAATAAACCAACCGTGTTCTCGTGATAAAAGTGAGTCACTATAGGAGCCTCCCGCTAGAAGGGGTCTACACTTTCGATAAGTAGCGGTTTGAATCGTGGGATTGATCGGCTGACGAGCGATTTTAGGACGGAAGAACTGGCGGAACAGGAAAGCGATCGTTGATCGTCGAGTTGCCAACGAAATTCTTTTTCGGAGAACGGTACCAAGAGCGGTGTGCTGTATTTGTTGCTTGAGTTGGCATACTACACCAGAGTGGTTTGTATCCAGAATCTGAAGATTGCGTTCATAGGGGTGCGGACCAGAAACGCTGCAGACGTAGGACGAAACCACGTTGGGCCGATGAACCAGAAGCGACCATAACGACAAAGTTCGAGACCAAGCGTATGCAAAGCATTCGAAGCCAAAATATCGACTGAGTGCGTTGACAAGAGCGTGGGTGGCCAGTCCAGCTTTCGCCAAAGTTGAATGAAGTCGACGATACTAAACGGGGATGGTCGGAGGCGTGGGCTCAGGAAACAAAAAGAAAATCAAAAGAAGAAAAGAGTGTAGCATGCATGTAGCATAGGAATAGTCCTACACCGTATCGGTTGTTAACTGTGCAACTAGTCGTCGAAGCGTACGGGCAACCGTACTTGGCGACCGGAACGTGAGACGATAGTCTCGTTCGTATCTTGAAGGTCTTTTCGTGATGAGCGATCACGTGAGAAGGCCTTTCGTAAGGTTGTTGCAAAGGTTTGCGTACCGAATCTACTCGTATGAAAACATGTGAACAGGTAGATAACTCTCGAGGGAGAGCGACCTGTCGATGTTATATTCTTGTTAACACTGGAGGCAGCGTTCGCATAAATGCAGACAGTCGATGGACGTAGTCTGATTTACCGAAATCGTTACTGCTCCGTGGTGTGAAGAATTCCCCGGGCAGACGCAATGTCGTGCCGTAGACAAGTTCAGCGGCGGAACATTGGATACCTGCGTTCAAGCTCGTTCTGATGCCTAAGAGAACGAGCGGTAAGGTTTCGTACCAGTTGCGTTCGTAATAGAATGACGTTCTCTGTAGAACACATCATTTAACTTAATAGCAGCTGCTTAGCTTATACATTAACAACGTATAACTTCGTACGTACGTACATCGGTTCGAGTTGCCACACAACATTAGCACAGAGATGCAGTTGTCGACTCAAATCCCGTAGTGGTAGAGGTGGCAAGAGTATTAGCAGTAATCGGAAACATTAGGGTTTGAGAATAACAAGGGAAACTGAAAATTCAAGACATTAATCTGAGTCCTTACATAGATGAATGAGAGATATTGGAGTTCTCACCAAATCGACCTTATATTTCTCCTGTTGGTATTTTACAAACTTGTGTGTTTTATATGGAAAATAATTTGCAAGCTTCCAAACATCACAAAAATAATATGCTTAGACTATTTATTTCAATGGACAGAGGTATCATGTTTGCAAGTCTGAAACACTAACGTGAAGACGGAAACTTCCTTAATACCCGCATCTTTCCCATCCTTCACTTGTTTAGCGTCAGGTTCAAGCGTGAGAGTACGATTGCACATTCCAGTCCTTGAGCTTTACCCAACAAACATTCCTTGTATATTTCAGGATCTGTAGGTGACTGTATCCTAAATACAAAAATGCTGCAATTGATCTGAACTTGATTTATTGAAACAAGGTCTGAGAAATGATGACTTATCAGCAAGCCGATTTCCGAAGACGCTGACTACTTTATGGAAATTTTAACCGTTGCATGTTTTTCACTAGATGAAATCAGCATACATGATACCTTCACTTGACCTCAACATTCTGAGACGACCATGCAATTCAACCACATTCCGATTCAGCCAATTACATTATAAATAAAATTCCCTTTGACCGTAAGAGTAAAAGAACATTACTCAAATTTCTGAATAAAATCGTGTCTGACAAATGCCTTTGAAACTATATTCACTTATCTGAGATAATACTAACTGATACATGAAGAAAGTTTTAGTTCAATATCTCGGTAAATGTTTGTGCAAATAACCGATTTGTTGTTCTATGTTCAGCTAGTAACTCGACGGTGTTAACGAATAGAGGCATCGATTGCATTTGATTCTGCTATATTCTTTTGTTTGTTTGACGTCTAAATTTGTTCCACTTTGAGTGGCGCCTTCCTATCACATCTTGAGTTGTCAGAGTCATCTTGCTTTGTACGTGTTCGGGTGCATGTACGAATTCCAGAATTAATTGTGAATCCTAGCCCACGAAAGAAAATTTACACGTGGATCGATCCTGTTTTAGTGACCTATATTGAATCGTTCACGTACTAGATTCACATGTTCAGCAAAAATGTCGTAACCAGAGACTCGATGAGTAAGTTGACATGGCTAAAAATTGTTCGCAGTGACACGGATGTATCCAGTCTATATCATTCCTCGGATCTTCATTCCCAAAATATCCCTATTTTTTCTCTTTCTGTTAATAGTAACTGGGAGTTCCTACTGCTGCCGACATTAATATCAGTGCTAATAGTCTAAGACTCGTTTTGAAGAGTTCGTCCCTCTGCGCTAATACGACGTGGTAAATTTGACTGATTCACATGTGTTACAGGTTCGTCTTTGAACACTTGACGCATCAGTCATCATTGAACATTTGGGATAAGTAACAATATCACATAAATAAAATAACAGAATAAATTAATAGAATAATGTGGTGATTGAATGAACTAATGGTTCCTTTGTACTTGTTGAATGCTTGATTTCGAATTCCAAATACAGTACATTCGTTCGTGCTTATCTTGTATTTCTTGATCCAATTGCGTTATTTCTGGGATTGTTAGTTCGTGCTATAATTCAAATACTCCTAATCATCACAAAAAACTACAAAACAAGTGTTAATGAAGTTTAAGTGAGAACTAGGTGGCTGATTTTTACAATCCATTGTGACTGATGAAATTGGTTGACAATAAAAACCAGTCACAAATATACTCCGTCATGTATTTAATATAATCATATTGACTAAGATCATAATTGACGTGAACAGTATGTTATTATTTCATGTGTGAACACCGAATTTCCCATTAGTTCAGGAGACATTTGGTTCGCATTGGATAGGATATTATAAATGATGGAGGGAGATTTTCAGTATTGATTTGTTTTGATTTACTGTTGGTACTCGGCAATATCTACATTCCCTGAAAACTTCAATAAACGCCAAAGAGACATACATTCATGATAGCAGTTCCACAGGTGCAAATCTGTTGTTCTACATGTGAATGTAGGGTATACTTGTGAATAAAGAACAACAAATTAGAATTAAGAAATTGTTGACAATCAAGTTCTAAGCGTTTTTCAATCGGTGATAACATGCGTTTCGCAAGCAATACTTATATGGTGACAAAACATGATAGGAAATGTGAACAAGTGATAGGTCAATGAAAACGATAAGTAATTCGAGTTAGCAGTGTAAGTGAATTAGTGAGAGACTATCTGATGTATCTCATCAGAATTATGGTCATATCTGACGGAGCAAATATGATAGAGAAATGATTGCTTAATAATACTATTTGAAAAAATATTAAGAATCTGAGGAATTTAATCAAGAATCATATGTTTTTTATAATTTTTATTGTCTGATTATACAGCCAAATTGATATCTTTAATTACAAGGTCAAAATACTTATGTGAATTTTGCTTCTTTTGATCGTACAATTATGTATGTTAACTAATTAGTTAAGAGTCAATAATGAACTTTATGAAATTGTCTAGTGAGTTTATTTTGAATGAGATTTAAATGATATTGAGTTCTATTTCCAAATGTTTGATCATATCCACGCCCACTCTCAACTTTCTTTTCTTTCTCCGTATCTCCGATACAACGTGTGTTGATGTGTTTTGGATAAGAGGCGTGATAATATGAATAATGTCCGGATTTCATTGAAATTCTTATCGACATAGTGACAATCAGAAGAACTGGAAGAACAGGAATGTATGTTTCAACTGCACTTTTCAGGAAGTTATTATCGTTACATGTATCCGAATGTCATTCTTCACTTATACATTGGCTGTTCCTTTTTTGACATTCAAATTCCAATATTATATCGTGTAATCCCCTATTTGTGGTACATGTTGTATTTTTATGATGTATATAATTTCTTATGTTAGCAGATGAAAACAACTGGGAATAATTTTTGAAAATAAATAGTTAGATGTCAGTTCATCAATGAGTCTGACATTATAAATTTTAGCGAACTGAACTACTGGTAGATCCACTATCAGATATTCACACCTTTATTTTGCCCATCCTCGATATTTTAAAGATCTTTCTCCAATACGGTTAGTAACCGAGCTCCTTCACATACTGCATAGAACTAAATATTCTGTTGCTTCTTAACACCAAAAAATACTTCACTCACTAACCATAGGCTTAAGACATATCTTTAATTTATGATATTTAGGCAAGCTTGGTCTTATACATTCTACGAATCTCCCTGTCACTATATAGGAATGTTTTGATTCATAAAATGGAGGAGAGACAATATGCACCAATTATCGATCACTCAAATAATTAAATAAAGTCGTTTTTCTTTAAGGGTTTCATCCTAGTTACTTACTAACTACGCCTGCTAGCCTTTATAGAACCTAGTTTGCCAAAGATGGTTATTTAAAAAAATGTCCTGCACTCTCTTGTCCACTTCTTGTCGGGTGCTGTGTCGTTTTCCAAAGACTATTGACCATGTCTTGTAATTTCATTCTCAACTCCTTCTGTGTAGACTAACACTTCAAGTTACATTTTTTTATGAACAACATGACATTAAGAGAGTTTTTATGTTAATTTCACTTGTTATGTGAGACAATTCACGGTAGTGTTTATAAACAATGGTCATTTTCTGGCCAGCTTTTGCCGATTATTATTAAAAGAAAATATGTTTCAACACCGGACCTCAGCATAAATTTTTATTATTGAAAAAATTAATTAATTAACGAAAGTTTACACCATATAAGTTGTTGCAAAATTTAAATATTGAAGCATTCATATCTAATTTCGGGTCTCAATATAAAAAATAAAAACAAGATTTTCATAAGATCACAACACTGACTGATTTATTGTCTTGATTTGATTAGAAAAATAATAGGTACAACAAATATCCCGATCGATATCGCCATGGTTACATAATTATCTGTAGATCTGCTAGTACGAAGAAAGGCATTCGTCGAGAGACATATTAAACCTGATACCGCACTAGTAATGCCATTCAATGTACCAAAATAACGTATTGGGAATGCAGACAGAAGAAAGCTAATGAAGCAACTGAATAAGAGTGACCTTAATATAACCAAGAATACAAACGATGCATAAGAAGCTATAGGACTAGGTATAAACATCATTGCACTCAGAGCAACAGCAGAGAGAGCCAAAAGACCTTGTCCCGGGACTAGGCCAAGTGTTAGAGTATAATACATTTTATCGGGATTCGCTAAATCACGTTCGTTGGTGAGCATGTTCTTAATGCTCGTTCGAGCTCTTTTGAGACAGAAGTCAATCATAAGACCAGTAACTGGTGACAGTAAGAAACTCGACATGAAGAATGCTGAGGAAATACTTAACAAATGATTTGCAGTTGACTTGTCAGGATACGCCTCATTTATGTGTTTTGCTAAGTGCGATAGGTAAAATGAGAAACGAAACAAACCCAAAGTAAACCAAAGATTAATCAGTAAGTATGATAAAGAAAAAACACAACTTAATAAAGATGGGTAACGTTTATCCAAAATTGAAGATATTTCTCCATAGATATCCATTTCTCCCGAACTTTCAATTGACGTTTTCTGTTACAAAACAAATATAAAAAAGACGAACAATAATAACCGTCAGTGGTGAGAGAATTGCGTTCATATCTGTATTAGATTCTAAGATTTACTTTGACTTCTAAACCATGCATTTCTGTCAAGTTGAATAGATAATGACAAAATAAAACGGAAAATAATACAATGTCCCATCATAGTAAAAATAAATGGGGAACTGTAGAAGATCAGTAAACTACTATGTGCATAACGAGCAAGATTCTGTTATTAGGAATAATGGCATTTCATACCTATAATTGAGATCTTCGTGAAAGCGTCTTCCTCTCATCAAAAATCCGTATTCACACTCAATGGGAATGAAAACAAATTGTATATGGTATATATAGCTTGTAACAGATTTCAAACAAACGCGATCTGAGCAGAATAAGGAGTTCGATGATTGTATTGATTTTGTCGCACATTACAGTTTATTAGAATATGTGAAATGCCTACAAAATTTAAGATTCTGTCGATTCCGAAGTCCCGTCATCTTCACTTTTAGTGGTTTTGTTATGGATAGTTTCTACTGCAATTGAAACAAGCAGTTTAGTCTATCCTCCACGTGAAATATCGCACCGATCATTTCATGAAACTATCATTTCGTATGTCAGAATATGATGAGTTTGAACTAAATCTACGCAGCACGCTTACGTGATTGCACAACTGAGGCTAAACTGACTGGTGTTATTCGTTGAAGTGTTTAGTAGAAGAACATAATTCTAAGTTAAACACTGCAAAAGATAAACATCACTGACAAGGTTTACAACACCGAATGTGATTAGATTTTCAATCTAAATATATTCAGACCGGTTGCCTTAAAAACACAAATCTGTGTTGCTGTCTGCAAATATAACAATAGTTGATTATCACTTACCTCACATAACTTTTCTTCTTCTGTGTTGATGGAGGAGAATTTCCCCATATCTTCAGATTTCTGAGTAAGGATAAAGAGTGCCACAAAACTGCCAACAACTATTGAGCCGCAAGCCAAAATAATAAACGACCATTTGAATGGGAATACAAGATAGGTCAACGACAACACATAAGCTACAACCGAACTTGAGTCGTACGCTCCAGACAAAAGCGATATACAAAGACCACGAAACTGTGGGAACATGGAACTGACTTGATGATTGCATATCAAGCTGCATATACTACTTAAAGCGACAAGTATACCGGCAGCATAGAATAGTGGCACTGTTTCACCAGTTGTAAATGCAAACATTACGGTACCAGCAAAGTATACTACAGCTGCCAGCAGTTTTAATATTCTCAGCCCCACCTTATCCATCAGTATCCCAGCAAATACAATAAGACACATTTGTGACACCATCCAAACCGTGAAGACAACCCCGAACATATCATAATGATAAGAGCAGCCAGTTTCCGTACAGTTGTAAGCGTAGACGCCAACTGATTTGTAGACTGTGATGAGGGAATTGAAGCCGTAGTGATAACCACCAAAAAGAAAAACATCAAAAATTGCTAGCGCCAATCCGAGCCAACGGCGAATTTTCGGCGGGAAGACATTATCGAATTTCTGACCTGTAATAACGAGATAATTAGAATAACGCTGTGACAGTAATGATCATTTCTAAGTCTTATGTAACCGTATAAGTATAATTGCTGGAGTGAAAAACCTACGTAGATTTTCTAATGGGTGAACATAAGCGCTCAATGTGTACACAGTCCCAACTTGAATCGGTAGGAAAAGGCTGATACAAACATACAACAGTAATTCGATGTTGACGGTTTTTAAGAATGTTTACGAAGCATTTGAACATTGGCGACAAAAGCTTATACGGCCTGAATATCCTCAGTCAGTTAATCTTGTGAAATATAGGACCTGACACATGAGTGTGAGTCTGTTTAATTCTACATGCCACACAAGAATGGTCAGATAAAATATCATTACGAACATCAGAGTTGTAGAGGCGGTAATAGTGTAAGTAGTGGCAGAAAACACTAGTTGTACATTTGAGATAGTGAGAATGAATTCATAGAATAGATGAGGGATCTCAACAAATGTCTGGAATGTATAAACACCTGCTACATTCATTGATCTTGTTCATTCACTCATGGAGAAGAACAAGGTAGTCGTATTTTTACAAATCGAACACTTGTATTATTCAAAGTCACATGAAACAAAAGTATAGGGTATTCGAAATATATTGTTAATCATTTGACCTAACTACCTCAGGAGAATAATGGCAAAGGACATTTGATTGACACTGATCGTTTGCTCAGCTTGTGTATCGTATATTGATAGTATTAGGTCAAAATGGCCTGAACATGATTTACATACGTATGTTTATTGTAAGACTCCAACTCATTAGTCTTTCATCAAAAGCTGATATCACTGGTTGTATTAGGATCGTTCAGCAGAGAATGGGTTATGTAATCATAATTAGTTTATAGGAGAAGTCACCTTTATTTTTTTAATGGTCTTTTATAAATCATTCTAGATAAACTCAAAAAGAAATTCAATTTCAGGACATCATACATCCTAGTTACTCTACGTTTACAACTTCATGCTGTTAATTGGATTGTGCCTTACATGTTATCGAATTAAAAGCTTAGAGGATGATCAAATCAGCACTTCAACTGCAATGATAATTGATACGGCACGAATATGTCCTAATATGCTACATATATATTTTTGGTGAACCATAGTTTATGGACAACCTTTGGGCGACGCTGAAGTGACTTTGAGAGTGAACAACATCCAATAAGGTTTAAATGATGGTTATAAAGCAGTTAGAGTTCTCATTTACAGTTGACGGTTAGGGTTAAAAATTAGATTTAGGGTTTTTATCACGAGTTGACATAAGCTATAGTGTCAAAACTCTATTTAGCCAAATGTATGAATGAATTCTGGGCCCAAATTCATGATTTGTTATCTTATATCTGGTTGGTTTATCCATAAATTATAGTCACTCCATTTTTCTCAGTATATAGAATGTAATTGAAAAATGTATAATTCACGAGTGTTCGTAATTTCTACCAGCAAAATTTGTGAGTGTTTTTTCGCTCCACTAATATTAAGACTTATGGAGCATGTTCCATGGTTTGTTTCTCAATCATTCCAGTATTTCACCAACTAATTTATATTCAAATTCGCACAATACTATCGTGTTATTAAAAAATTATCGATCGTCTACTATTTCACGAAAGAATATTTACTTTACTGTTAGTTTGGATATAGATAAGACGTATGAAAAATAAGAAGCCGTATTGACTTACACAATTCCATCTTCTGCACTTTGAGGTGGTGTTCTCGTTGTTTTCGTGGTATTTATATTATTAGCATACTTAAACACAACGTTTTCTATTGCCCTTCTTATTCAACATCCAATAACTTTGTGACCATCAAATAGTAGTTATTTGGTTTAAAAGAATGAAACACACTATAGAGATTGCGAAACAATGTATAGACTGTATCAACCTCACTTTGATCAACAACAATGGTAGAGTTCCCTCAAGGACAGTTAATTAGTTTTTATTGGATTTTGCGTCCGTTGTTTTTTATTCCTCTGTTCTGCTCCCTGATTTACGTATTGCAGTTTCAGTTCAAAATGATATGAGACTAAGTGGGCTCTTTTTACTCCTGCCAGTGTTGTTCTTTCTGTTGATACGACTTACTTTTTAGGAGCATCAACA